GAAGATAAATATAGTGACAAAGATTTAAATTCTCCCTATTCTCCAAATAATTATTTTTTAAAATTATCGCCGAGTAATTATTTTTTAAAATTGAAAGAAAGGAAAGAAAATGAAAGAAACGAAAAGAAATTATTTTAAAAAATTGCAAAAGTGTAAATATAAAGATAAATATTGACGAAAAGAAATTATTTTAAAAAATTGCAAAAGTGTAAATATGAAGATAAATATTGACGAAGACTTGATTTGTCCGTATTCTCCAAATAATTATTTTTTAAAATTATCGCCGAGTAATTATTCTTTAAAATTATACTTTAAAATTACTTTAAAGGAAAAAAAATGAAAGAAACGAAGAGAAATTATTTTGAAAAGTTGCAAAAGTGTAAAGATAAATATTGACGAAGATTTCTCCTTATTCTCTAAATAATTATTTTTTAAAATTATCGCCGAGTAATTACTTTTTAAAATTACCAGAAAGGAAAAAAAAATGGAAGAAACGAAAAGAAATTATTTTAAAAAATTGCAAAAGTGTAAATATGAAGATAAATATTGATGAAGACTTGATTTCTCCGTATTCTCCAAATAATTATTTTTTAAAATTATCGCCGAGTAATTATTCTTTAAAATTACAAGAAAGGAAAAAAATGAAAGGAACGAAAAGAAATTATTTTAAAAAATTGCGAAAGTGTAAATATGAAGATAAATATTAACGAAAATTTGATTTCTCCCTATTATCCAAATAATTATTTTTTTTTTTTAAATTATCGCCGAGTAATTAATTTTTAAGATTACCAGGAACGAAAAAGAAATGAAGGAACTTAATTACTACCGGTTGGACAGTTCCGTGTTTCTTGGGTATCGAGAGATCGTTCACCGGTAAACGAGTTTGACATACACAGCGGACGACAGGGCCGGCAAGTTGCGAATCATACGCGAGGGACTTCGTTAGGCCGGAAATTAATTAACAGCCGAGCTAAGCTACCGATCGGTCCGCCTCCTCCCGAGATTAACGAAGCTACTCCGATCTTAATCGATCTTCCGATCGACAGTGTCTACCGTCTCACCGATTCATTACACTCTGATTCCGCACGATAAGAAATCCAACATTAATTCAACTGTAGAAGAAAAAAAAAGAAAGAAATGCATCGAACGTGATAATTAATGGAAAAAAATGAAAACGAAAAAAACGTGTGATTACGAAATTAAATTAAATTCGATGAAATGTAAAAAACGCATAAAGCACTCTTACAGTTAGCTCAAAACACAGGGTTAAGCTCTAGATCCGTGGTTCTCAACAGGGGGCCAATTCGATTTTCTACAGAGGCAATTCGAAAATAAGTTATTGACAGTGAATTTCTTGAATCTGTTTAAATAAAAACTTCAACTTTGTAATTGTTCTTCTATTCACGGATGCCACGTTCTTTGGAAAGTGAAGTTAATGGCCTTTCAGGCTTCCTCCACGTCAGAAATTCACTTTCCTTTCACGGATATCACGTTTCTTTGGACAAGTTAAGCGAATGGACTTTCAGGCTCCCTCCACAAAGTCAAAAATTCACTTTTCGAACAATAAGAGTTGTGTCACAAGTGTGGAGAGCATTTTAGGATTTTAGAGACGCTTAGATGAGACGTGGCCAGAAAAGAGACTGAGAACCATCGCACCAGATATAATTCGTCCAGATGCCACACCGCGAGAGCAAAATTTCGACGCTCTGCTTTTTGCGATAATGAGAATATTTTAACATAGAGAGAGAGAGAAAAAAAAAAGGAATATTACTTCACTTTGAGCGTTACATATATCTTGATCCAATTTTGTTTGGTTTCTGTGCGGGCCAAATTTACCAAATGGATTTTTCGTGCGGACGTGGCACGTGGGAAAGCAGACTGCAATTTTCTTCGTTGGGACTTAAAAAACCTTCGTCCTTCGAGTCGACGCGACGCGACGCGACGCAACGATTACGTTCCAAGCATTACCACTCGTGTCTGTCGTGTCTTTTTTCGGCATTAACCATTCTTTTTACAAGCTGGCTAGCCAGGTCGAGGCCCGACGCGAAACATTAAACTCTATCTCTGGGAAAAGCTGGCTCGTGTCTCTCTCTTGAATGTTTCTCCGTTTCGACTCTCCATTCCCCCCCTCTGCCCCCTCTTTTTACCTAATTTTTTTCTTAAAAGTAAGTATATACTCGGTAGGTGCAATTTTCTTGTTACATCACTTGATGTGTTTTGAATATTAATTCCATAATTTTGTCGTAAATTTTTGAGATGTTTCTCTCTTTCAATTCTCCATTCCCCCCTTTACCCCCTCTTTTTACCCAATTTTTTTCTTAAAAGTAAGTACATACTCGGTTGGTGCAATTTTCTTGCTACATCACTTGATGTGTCTTGTTTAAAATATTAATTTTATAATTTTGTCATAAATTTTTGAAATGTTTCTCTCTTTTAATTCTCCCCTCTGCCCCCTCTTTTTACCCAATTTTTTTTCTTAACAGCAAGTATGTATATACTCAGTTGGTATAATTTTCTTGCTACATCACTTGATGTGTTTCCAATATTAATTCTATAATTTTGTCACAAATTTTTGAAATGTTTCTCTCTTTCAATTCCCCCCTCTGCCCCCTCTTTTTACCCAATTTTTTTTCTTAACAGCAAGTATGTACATACTCAGTAGGTATAATTCTCTTGCTACATCACTTGATGTGTTTTCAATATTAATTCTATAATTTTGTCATAAATTTTTGAAATGTTTCTCCATTCCCCCCTCTGCCCCCTCCTTTTACACAATTTTTTTCTTAACAATAAGTATGTACATACTCAGTTGGTATAATTTTCTTGCTACATCACTTGATGTGTTTTCAATATTAATTCTATAATTTTGTCACAAATTTCTCTCTTTCAATCCTTCATTCCCCCCTCTGCCCCCTCTTTTTACCCAATTTTTTCTTAAAAGTAAGTACACACTCAGTACATAGAATTTTCTTCGCAACTAAATGGTAATTAATTCTTAGCAATTAAATCACTGGTGTGTTTTCAATGTTAATTTTATAACTTTGTCATAAATTTTTGAAATAACAAAATTTTATTTTATTACCGAACTGTCGATATTATTGATTATTACCGAGTTAATAAAATTTTGAATCTTATTGGATTTTATATCGTTTCTCCTTTAATTCACGAAGTCAAGCGATAAAGAGAAGTTTCGCGAAACGCCAAATAGAATAGAAATAGATCGCAAGGAAATATTATTTCGAAACGTTTCGAAATGGTAACGATACTTTTCAACGTCTTTGAATGCTCGATAAAGGGATTACTTTTGCATTCTCTTCGAAATAAAATTCTTTGATGGAAAGTCCAAATTGTTCCGTGTCCAGTTTCTCGTCACGACAGACGAAAAAATAGTTCACAAAGGTTCGCCGCAATATTCGTTAGCTTTTTTTTTTTTTTTTCTCTTTTAACACGTCTAAATCCATTTCACGCAGAGAGCCAAGTCTGAACGGAACTTCGACGTCGCGTGTTATCGATATTCTGTTATTTTTTGCGATTCTTTCGAATCCATTTCTTTCCTTTCAGCCATACCAACCAGGAAACTGAACGAAAAAAAAAAAGAGGAAGAAAGAAAGAAAAAGGAAGAAAGTTTCGCGTTTGACCACTTCTCATCGTTTTTGTTCTTGCTTTGTATATTCCTTTCTTTCAACGAAATTGCAAAAAGCCGAGTGAAAATAGAACGTTTACAGTCGAATAGTTTCGTTCTTCGACAAGAAAAAGAGGGGGAGGGATGGAAATTAAATTTCCTTCTTGCTCGCTTTGATACTTTCGTTCGAACTAAATTGCAAAAAATTGATTAGAAATGGAAGGTTACAATTAATAAAATGTCTTGTAGCAATGGTTCTCAATCTTTCTTTTCGGCGATGCTCCACCTAAACATCTCTGATCCTGATGTCACATAATTCTTATTATCAAGTACATATAAAGTAAATTTTTGACTTTGTGGAGGAAGCCTGAAACGCCATTAACTAACAAGCTTCCGGAAAACGTAACATTGATGAGAGAAACAAATTAAAAAGAACGAAAAGATAGTTGAGATATCTCTGAGGAAGTTGAAAAATAAGAAATTGTTAAAGAAAAATGATGAAACGAAGCAATTTGATAAAGTTTTGAAACATATGAAAAAGAACTGAAATGTACAGATGTAAAATAATTTTGATGGAGAAGCGTTTCCTTTGTATACTTTGATCATTGAAATTATTATAAAATTATAAAATTATTATAAAATTATAAAATTGTTGTAAAATTATAAAATTGTTGTAAAATTATAAAATTATTATAAAATTATAAAATTGTTGTAAAATTACAAAATTATTATAAAATTATTATAAAATTACAAAATTATTATAAAATTATAATAAAATTGTAAAATTATAATAAAATTATATAATAAAATTATATAAAATTATATAAAATAATAATAAAATTATATAAAATTATATAATAAAATTGTAAAATTATAATAAAATTATAATAAAATTATAAAATTATAGTAAAATTATAAAATTATAAAATTATAGTAAAATTATAAAATTATAGTAAAATTATAAAATTATAGTAAAATTATAAAATTATAAAATTATTATAAAATTATAATAAAATTATTATAAAATTATAGTAAAATTATTATAAAATTATAGTAAAATTATAAAATTATAAAATTATTATAAAACTATAATAAAATTATAAAATTATTATAAAATTATTATAAAATTATAAAATTATTATAAAATTATAAAATTATTATAAAGTTATAAAATTATTATAAAGTTATAAAATTATTATAAAGTTATAAAATTATTATAAAATTATAAAATTATAAAATTATTATAAAATAATTATAAAATTATTATAGAATTGTTATAAAATTATAAAATTATTATAAAAATCATTGAAATTATTATAATATTATAAAATTATTATAAAATAAAAGGTACCTAACAAATTCGAAATACAATTTGATCTCAAGCTGAAATTTTAGGCAAAAAATTTACTGTCAATAACTCATTCTCGAATTGTTCCCCTAGAAAATCGAATTGTTCCCCTAGAAAATCAAATTTTTCCCCCTGCGGAGCGTGGGCCCCACGCTGGGAACCACAGTTTTATATAGATGGTGTACGATAAGAAAGAGAAACCTACCGATAGTGGTGATCACTGTGAGAGAATAAAGGAACGCTCCAGCGAAGCTCCATCTCTTGCTTTCCTCCGCTCCGTCGTAGCCGTTCTTTATGGCCATTACCATTTTCTTCTGATAGTTCTCGAGGACCGTTTTTACTTTCGCTTTCCAGATCCTCTCGGAGAACACGTTCTCCTGCGGAGGGAAAAACGAACGTATAGGAAGGCCAGTAAACCTACAAACTTACTGTGAGGGATGTATTCAATAAAGTAATTGCGAATATTACTCTATGGGACTGACTTTGCCCTAAATCGACCTAACCAGACACTGCGTATACAGTGTCTATCTGATTATAAGATGCAATGAAGATGCAGATGTTTTTTTTGGAAACTTTTCTCTGCAAACCACATTCAAACACGCAGACAAACAACAAAGTAGCTAATATAAAAACCAAATGACTTTTCTGTAACACAGACAATACGAATAGACATTGCATGCAATATATGTTTTCGCCCATGATTTTAAAGGTCATCGTAGTCTTGGTACTATTTTCGTGTCACATTCTGTCATACCAGATTCAGCACTACCGAAATTGAAATTAAAAAATATGAAAATATGAGAAATATAAGATCTGTTCCGAGAATTATTTATTGAACCCCCGAACGTGGTGGTAGTACTTTATCAATGAAGGAATACAACGATTTTGAAACAGCGACTAATGGAAATCGGGACGAAGATCATACACATCTATTTAAAAGTGTTTGAAATTAATAAAGTTAATAAAAAATTAATAAAATTAATAAAATGAATAAAAAGTTAATGAAACTAATTCAATAAAAATTGATTGAAACATGATAGTTTTATAAACAACGTAATTAGACGTGACGTTTTCTCATACACCTCGTCCATGTTAATAGATTATCGGTAAAGCGTTGACAAAAGCAGGGAGAACAAAGAAAAATCTGGTTTTAATTCATCTATCGTCACCTCTTCATCTTTACGAAATGTATTCATCCTCGCGTGAGAATATATCCCCCCTCTCCCTCAAAAAAAAAAAAAAAAAAAAAAAAAAAAAACAGAAATATATCGCAAGACAAAATTTTCCATAGCTATGACTAGGCTTCGAATCGGACACTCCAAGATCACACACGAATACCTCCTAACCAAAAACAGAACCACCTTTCTGCAACACCTGCAACCTACAAATCACCACCCAGCAGAAAATACCAGAAGCATAAGAAGTAAATACAGATGAAACCAAAACACCGCTCTAACCTGCCAGAAACAACAAAAGAAAACGTTATCCAACTACCTAAAGGAGACCCAACTACTAGTCCAGTCATAAAGATCAAAGTCAATTTCAACACGTTGCTAAAGACTTCGTAGTCGATGCGACGCTAAACCCCCATATAAGGAAAAAAAAAAAATTTTCCAACTTGAAAGTTTGATCTCGTTGGAGAAGAGAAACTTGTAGAAACGAGAAGAAAGAAAACTGGGAAAAAATGGTCACCTTGAAGGTAAGCTCCCAGAGGGTGGCAGCTGTCACGTTTCTCAGCCTGATCACGTCCCCGACAATGTCCAGGTTGTTTCTACCCTCGATGTGAGTGAAGAGGAAGGCCCCAGCTATGGTATATCCGACCACCAGGCAGACTATGCCAACGTTGCTGAAGAGGAAAGCTATCAGAGCCCTGGTCCAGTCCGCGAGCCTCTCGCCCCACGGCTTCCGCCTTCGTTTTCTTCGCCTTCCGTCGCGTGCCCGATAACTTCCACGCTGCCAGTTTCTGCTCGACGTCGAACACGATGCTCGATCCCCCTCCATCCTTCATCCGGCACATCCGGGCCGCTGATATCGTTGCCTTTTTCCTACTTTTCGCGCTTCTTCGCTCCACTTCTGCTTCTCACTCGATTTTCTCCTTCGAGGAGATCCTTCTACCGCGCTCTCCTCGTTTTATCCTCTTGCTTGCGATGCTTTCTGTCTTCTGTGAAGAAAGTTGTGAAATTTCTAACATTTCTCAGTCTTCGCGTGTAATAAAAAAAAAAAAAAAAAAAAAAAAAAAGGAAAAAAAAAAAAAAAAAAAAA